CATCATCAAAGGAATTGAAATCTTCTAGTTGAATCCTGGCATTGGAGGCTTCAAATGCCTCTCGATAACTTCTGCTTACACCTTGTTCCAACATCTTGCTTTGAGAGAGACCACCAACCCAAATTTGGCTTTAGAGTATATATGCAGCCTCAGATTATTGTCACCCTTCAGAGGTGTGGTTTTGAGGTATAACCAACGTCAATGTCATGAAAACTTTGAAGCTGTTATTGATAATCAACATTGAGGTATAACCAACGTCAATGTCATGAAAAAAAAAAAAAAACTTCAATGTTGATGGTCAAAAAAACACCTCAAGCTTGGCACCTCAAGACAAAAAAAAAACCCCTCAAGCTTGGCACCTCAAGACAAACAAAAAAACATCTTGAAACGTCAATGCTAAGAAACTTTGAACATGGACATAGATAGAGCACTTAAGTGATTTGGGATCTAGGGATAGACTCAATAACTTGATCATTCTTAGCATCAGACTTAATGCAAATTGTATGTTAAATTAACTAAGGGATTAACAATTTGATATATTAATTTATAACTAGTTGCTAAAGGATTAGGACTAGTATGCCATGGTGTTAATGTTTGAATGAAATAATGAAATATTGAACAAAGTTTTATATTCATATGATTCATGAAACCCAATTCCAACGAAGTTTCTTTTAAATATAAATTCCTTGCACACCAACTGTTTGATAAAATACCAAAAAGAGTTTCTTGCGGTGTTTTGTGCATTTTGATGTCTAATTGAGTTATAAAAGGAAGAATTGTCGTGTGTTGCACAAGTCCTTTGGGAGAACGATACTCTGAACTTACTTCATATTACTTGGAACAATTTTTTATACTTGCCAAAAAGTTAACCGGCTATGGATGACATTTTCTCAAGGTGAGAGTTACTCGATCTTATGACATCGATGAACACGTCTAGCATTGTAGTTAACTTGTCAAACTGTGATTCCATTAAATCCACCATAGGGGCTTTCCCTTTTGAACCACATGAAGAATATGTGCCCCATGGATTGGACGAATGACACAAATTGAGTAGCCTTGGACTACAGTCATCCATATGTGGAGGTGATGGTGGAATAGAGTCATTGTACCCTTGAAACGTAGGTTCTTCGGGTATGTACTCCATTTAGTCGTTAAGGTCAACAACTAAACGAGCTTCTTGGAAAATACGACGTGTTTGACTGTTGATTGTACTTCACTCTTAGTAGCTCGATCAGTAGCCCAAAGCTCCACTATTAGATCATAATGTCTAATGTTACTAACTCTTCACTTAGCTGTAGTAGGCTTATCCTGAAATGCAAGCCACACCCATTCAAAAGAAAGGAATTTTGGTTAAAATAGGAATTTAAATAGCAATGATTAAGATATATCAGATCAGCCTAAACTTCATCTTGTACTTCAAAACATGTAGATGTTACATTCCATGCTAACCCACTAAGTGAACTGAACAAAACGTAAAAGTTTTTCGTTATTTTTCATATTTCTTCCTTGTTCCTCGTTCTCCATCCTATCCCCAAAATGTTGTTATCGCAAAGGTCCCAAACCTAGTACGAAGCCTTAATATAGCTCTCTCAAAGTCAGCCTGTGCGTGAAGTCTGAATCTTTAGCTCAAAATTTGAGTAGCTTAAACCCGCTAGTGTGGAGGTGGAGCATTGTTTATGTGGAGGTACAGTACTATTATTGTGAAGGTCGACCACTATGTAACACATTTGTTTATTTTGATGCATATTTATGTTTGAAATTGTTATTGTTTAGAGTTTTGAGATTTTGAATCGCATGGTTTCAAAACTTTATTACATCTTCCATTGCTTAACTTTCTTCTCATATTTCATCATTCCTAGCTTTGTTTTCGGAGTCCCTATGCCTCATCTCATCCAATGTCTCCTTCATCGTGTAAAATTATCTTTTGTGTTTCTCTCTCTCGCTTTAGTTTCCTTATAGATTAAGTGTCATGAAGGCATTGAAGAACATAGAGAAATATGAAATTGATGGTAGTTTATTTTATTATACATCTTTTCTAATATTTTCTTTAAAAATAGTGGATTGTACTATTATGAATGGTAAACGTTATTTTCTTTGGGGATGGACAGGACAAACATTGGAATGTTCACTAGTGAAGCCATAAACTGATCTGAAGTCATCTTGGGTAAGAAATCAATAAAAGTTAACCTTAAACATCAAAGAAAAGGATAAATAATAAAAAACCAAATTGTATTCATTCAAGGTTTGTGAAGTGATAGAAGTTGATGTTGCATAACTAATTTTTAAAATTTAAAATATTTAATTGTTATACTTTAGTTCTTTTGTTAACTTTTTTTTCTCCACTAATACGCAACTATAACCGTGGGTTAACACAAATTTGAACATGAGTAATAGTGTGAAAAGTTTTAAAGCTAGAAAAGGCTAATAATATTTAAAATGTATAATCGATGTTTGTGATAGCTTTATAAAAGGAAAACATTTTAAAAATTCCTTATTTTGTATGAATATGATAATTGGTAAATTTTGAATTTACAAGTATTAGTTGTATACTCTCGAACTCAAATACTAAATAAAATGCCAATATTATGCTTGTTTGGGGTGAGACACTGCATTCAAGGATAAGGAAGGAATGATTTACAGATGATGTACATGTTTGTTTTTGGCACATTAAGAGCAAGGGAAGGAGAGGATTAGCTAGATGTAAGGATTTTAATGTCTCCTTCAAATAAGGGAATTTTGGGGTGATAGTAGTAAAAATACAATACCCTCGTTATGTATCACTTTATTCACATGGTCTATGAATGCATCTCTTAACAACCTTCAAATGGATGATATGTGGTGAGGTTACATCACCATAAATCCATGACTTCCAATTCTGGTTGGAGATCAAAGAAGGAGGAGCATTCCATAAAAGGGAATCAATTCCTATACAACCTGAAACCGATTCCATGATCAATGCAAAGGAGTTGGAATTGATTCCATTAACTATAATCGATTCCATGGATATGAAGAAAGAGTTGGAATCGATTCCAACATGCTTGGAATTGGATAAGTTGTGTAACCGATTTTGACATTGTGTTTGTGTGCTTTTTATTGTAATAGTGTTATATTAAAGTTCAAGTGTCAATACAAGGGAAAAGAAGTAAATAGAAATAACGAGAAGTCGGTCATCTGTTTTCAGGTTGTTTTGTTGAGCTCCGCTAACGTTTATTGAGCTCGGCAAGGACGTTGATAAACTGGGTCAAATGTCGTTAAGCAAAGGAGTTGTGGAGCTTGACTATACGTGGTTATGGAGACTTGGTGGTTGTGAAGTGTCAGTGGCTGTGAAAACTCCACTCATGGACACATATGAGAAAATACAATTTTCTTTAGTTGGATTTGGTATTCATGATTTTGGTTTTAATGAGTCTAATAAAATTGAATCAAATGTGTTGCAAATACTAGCTAGACATGGAAAGAAAAGGGTTTTAGAATGCATGAGTTAAGTAAAGCTAAATAGTTTAATTATTTAATTGATAGGTTTAAGTTTGTGTATAAGCTTATGTAAAAATATATAACAATTTGTAGTATTTTGATTACGGATGTATGTTTACGGATTTATGTTTAGTTAATTTAGTAATTTAATTATGTTTTAATAATAATAATTTAATTATAATCTCATCAAATAATACATTCATATTTAATACTTATAATCATTAATAATAATAATAATAATAATAATAATAATAACAATAATAACTCATTAAAGTTGTAATTGATTTCATTGCATTCTAACTCATTCCAATATTTTTTTTTTGTTTGTAAGGGTGGAAGGGTAAGTTGGAACTAGTATTCGTATGCATTATGAAATTGGATTAGTGTGGTGATACTGATTTACATTGTGTTATTTATTTATTAATTTTTTTAAATATTTTAGTATTTCAAATAAATTTTTTTAAATATTTTCGTATTTCAAATAAATTTTTTAAAATATATGAAACTTATAATTATCATTTTATATTATTTATAACATTAAAAACAATTTAGTAATCATCTTTTTTCTCTCTTAAAACATTTTTTTAATTTATTACATCAGTGAAATCTCTCACAAACTTTATGTACAAATAATTCACTGTCATCTTCAAATTTCTTAAAAAAACTAATATATATTTTATTTTCAAATTTATTCTTTCACTCTCTCAAATTTATCTTCAAAAGTAAACGCACTCAAAATATTACTGCAAAAGAGAAATCAAAACTGTGTTATGAATTAGCAAAGAATGTATAACTTAGATATTAGAAGCATAAAGGATAAAAAAAAAGCTTATAACTTATCTAATTAACTAAACATTTATTATTTAATTGTTATTTAATATTTTGATTTAAAATTTAAAATTTATAGAGTTATCATTTCTTTTAAACGATTCATACTTAGAAGCACGAACTACACTTAATAAACATTTAGAAAATAAAATTATCAAATAGAAAAATTTTAGTTTAGAATAAAACAAATAAGTTTTCGATATTTAATATTTCTTAACAAATATCGTTAAAATACAACACTACTTCATTTGACCTTTCAACCACTTCGTTTTGACAAACGTTATCTGCAAACGAAATCACATTGAACAAAAAAAATGCAGAAATATAAGACAGGAATACGGGAGACAGAAAATGAGAAGTTACAAACCACACATGTGGCCATGCCATTAGAACATACTGAATAGGTTTTAAAATAACAAGCTCCCTACATTTTAGAAGTAACAGCTACATAATACTATATATAAGATTCAGTAACTTTACCATATATCATACTAAAAACAACAGAAACAGTAACAGCTAAATAAGATTCTGCAACTTGACCATTCACGAATGGACCTCTATTGAATCCATTAACATTCCTCTAAAAGCCAGAGACCAGCAATGACCGAAGTGTAGAGAACCCAAACGACCCACTAACAAGTTGTGAGCGATGATCTAACTCTGCTTCTTATGAGCTTATAATCGAAGACAATCGAAGCATGTGCAGAGAAGTCCTTAACCTGATTCCTCAAAAATACGAGGATGTGAATGTTGTTTCCGTGAGTCGCATTTTTTAGCTACAGATTAGTCATAAAATTATTCCATAGCTAAAAGTATTAAATTTTTCAAAGAAATAATAATTATACATGTATTACACCATATCTAATTAACTTTAGTTAACTACCGTATTTTTCCGTCAGTATTTTTTCATTAAACAACGCTAAATTATTGAGAAGTATTTTTCCTATATCTAATTACCAAATTTTATTGTAGTGCTCCCACCTATTTTAATAAGACGTCATCATTTGATTAGTTCATTTTATTTACGAAATTTTTAAATTCAAATCTTGATTAAGAAGTTGAAAATAATTGTACCACTTTAGACCAAACTATTCATAAATAACTTCTCTACTTGATTAAGCAATTTTATGACTCTAAATATTTGTATCAAAAATAGTTCTAACACTAGGTCCATTTACATTTTATCTCACAAAACTTAGTAAAGTTTCAAATATACTCTGTAGTTATAGAAAGCATTTTATATGCATGGGATTTAAGAAAATGATTTATTTTAAAGTATTGGAATTATTTGGTTGATTTTTTAGAACATACACTTTTATCCTTGTAAAGATAAAGTTTATTCAGTATCTACTTGCACTCTTGTTTGAAAAGCCTCAATCCTTTAATATAAGTAAAGATTTTGAGAGTCTGAAAAAGATGAGACCAGTAGAAAAAACAGTTAATAGAAAGTCAATTAAGAAAAAAAAAATCATATTCCTTGGCGGCATTAACGTCATGGAACCACACCTCAGTGATTTTTAGTCTTGAGGTGCTTTATGCCAACATCTTGAAACGACACCTCTGAAGGGTGAGCATAATCTGAGGCTGCATATATACTCTAAAGCCAAATTTGGGTTGGTGGTCTCTCAAAGCAAGATGTAGGAACAAGGTGTAAGCAGAAGTTATCGAGAGGCATTTGAAGCCTCCAATGCCAGGATTCAACTAGAAGATTTCAATTCCTTTGATGATGATGGCCGTCCCAAAAGAACTGGTAATCAAATATCCTCAAGAGTCCAAGTATTTGGGTTGGTTATTGGTAAGTATTCATTTCAAACTCACTCACTTTGAGCTTCATAATACAGGAACTATGTGGACTGCAAGTGCCCACATAATAACAGCTGTTATTGGGTCTGGAGTGCTGTCTCTGACATGGGCTATTGCTCAGCTTGGCTGGATTGCTGGTCCTGCTTCATTGATTCTGTTCTCTGTGATGACTTACTACACCTCCGGTCTTCTAGTTGCTTGTTACCGTATTGGAGACCAAATCACCGGCAAGAGAAACTACACCTACATGGACGCTGTTAGATCCCACCTAGGTATGCATGCTATTCAACTCAATTATGGTAGTTTTGTAATGTCTTTTCATAATATTTCCGGAAAAGGTATAAATTAAAACTAGCTTGTATCAAAATTGACAGCAAGGACTCCACTTTCTTATTATGTTTTTTGAAGGTCGTATGAATGCAAGGTTATGTGGATGGATTCAGTATGCGAACCTTTTAGGAGTGACAATCGGTTACACCATTGCAGCTTCCATAAGCATGATGTGAGTTTTGAAGGATGCAAGTCTTGTTGTGTGGATGAAAGTGTAAGAACAAATGTTCTAATTGGTGTTTTGGGTTGTTCATGAAACAGGGCCGTTAAAAGGACTAATTGTTATCACAATAGCGGAGGAAAAGATCCATGCAAAATGAACAGCAGTGTGTACATGATTTCGTTTGGAATTGCAGAAATTGTATTATCCCAAATTCAAGATTTCGACCAGTTCTGGTGGCTCTCTATTGTTGCTGCTGTCATGTCTTTCACATACTCTGCAATTGGACTTGGTCTTGGAATTGCTAAAGTTATAGGTATGGTTCTATTCATGTTATGTTAGAGAGAATTGTCATTTATTATATCATTGTGAGTTGAGGATTGAACA